TATATATATATATATATATGTGGCCAAATGTTAAGGTGTGACTCAAAGGATGTGCAACTAGAAACGCCTGGGAGGACCTCGGTCAGACACATTCAGCCTGCAACTGGGTGGCAGCGATGCAGGCCTGTTCAGCAGTTGAATCTCACCAAGCGATTTACAGTGAATTCGATCAGCACAATTGCTGTTCTATGAACAGTCTTGAAGGTTGGAGTTCGGGGTCCGAATGATCCTTGTACCCGTCGCGCTGGTGAATGGAACGATGTGGCAGGGACCTGAGATTTTGATGGATTCGAGCTGCATTGCATTCCGCTGCTCCTACACTATTTCTGTTACTCGTACGTGATATAGACAGTTCTTGCCGGTGGGAACTGTGGTGCACCCAATAAATGAAAGCTTAGACAATGAACGTACATCCTCCAGGACGGACGGCCAATGGACGTCCATGAGGCCGCTGAAACAGTGATCAATGGTGTGCATCCAGAGAGGTTATGATGAACATGGATGAATACGGAAGATACAGTTGCAACATTCTAGATTCCCGACAGGTACGAACAATACAGCAACTACCCATTCTCTTCGACTGCAGAAGCAGCTAGCGATAGTGAAATGGTGCTTGCTTCAAGAGTACCCATATTAATCATATCTGGGAAGTCTCACGCAACATGGAAAGGACACATACCCTGCTTGCAGCCTGCTTGCTGATGGTTAAAGGCAGACCTTGGAGTCGAGCTGCCCGGCCGTGTGGGTGGTGTGCTGCCTGGTACACGACTTTGTGGTGGCAGGCCGGTGTGGTCGGTCCTACACATGTTTGTGTTGCGCCTGTGGAGCCGCTAGCCATGCTATGTCCAGTCTCCTGGCAATGGAGGTTGGATAGCGAATGTGGTGCCCAGCAGTGATGATTGGGGATGTTGAAGGATCAGCTAGTAACAATCCTGCATTGCATGCCCCACTGAGGGATGGCTAGACGCTTCGACGGACATTGTTTCAACTCGGCAGGCTCTTTTGGCTTGCAGAGTCCTTGCCAATTTTAAAGCGTTTGGGTTTGGCACTCAGAGTTTGGATCACAGAGGCAACTATTTCATGATAATTTCTTAAGGCCCCGAAATCCTTCCCCTGAAACACCTGCTTAGAGGAGGGTTTCCTCGGCCAGCTGATCCATTTATTGTACTTTGCCCACCTTGGAAAGACAACATCATACTGCGCATCGTAGCACTGCGAAACCACTACCTGTATGCGACCCACGCTGACCCCTGCGACGATGCCACTCAATTGTCGGAACAAGAGGGTTTTTCAAGTTACCCCTCAAAACACTAAAAACGCAAACAAAATAACAAGAATGCTTTGGGTTTGAAGTTTCACAAACTAGAATGCTTCTTTCAATCTAGAATGCGTGAGCTCACGTGTTCTGTTCAGGTTTCATTGCCTCAGATCCCATGGCCGTGTTGGGTCTTGACACGGTAGGGCGAGTGAGGCAGACGGGTTGGCTTGTTGCAACTCTCATTTTTTTTCAGCGTTTGATTGCCAAGCATGGCTGCCTGGTCTTGCTCTAGCCCTTTGGTGTTCTTTTTGCCGTGGTAGGTTCGCCATCTCTGCAAAGCACAAGCGACTTTGGCTACCTATGTGAGAAGCGCTTGTCACCCAGAATGTAGAAGTGGAGCGGCAGTTTGACTTTCCTGAGTTGGCTTCGCAGAGGCTCGTGATGAACCGACATGATTAGAGTATATATATATATAACAGTATATAGTTTGAGCCAGGCAGTCATCTCCCGGGATGTGTGGCTCGAATGACTCGGTGGCACTTAACAGAGTCTCATACTTGGACCCAGCACACGATTTCGAAAGCAAACAACAGAGACGCACCGTCCGATGTCACACGATAAGCCACTTGTCCGGATTGCAAAGCCTTGCACTGGCCCCAGTTGGAGCAATGTTCCCATGGCATCGGATGAGAGTTCCGCCCGATTGGTGCTGTCCAAATTGTAGACGAGGCTTGCAAGATGTGGACTGCTGGTGTGGGCGACAGAGCATAGAAACAACTCCACGACCTTCCACCTTGAGCAAAACCCAGAAGTTTTACACAGAAGCTCTCAAGAAGGAGCCATTTGACCAGATGCGGCAACGGCTTTTGAATCGTGGCCAGCGACAATTGAAGCCACAATCCGAATACCTCCTTCAACATATGGGTTTGAGCAAGCATCAAGTTGAACATTGGAAGGAGGAACAGCGTAAGCTCTCCCAGTCTGCATCCTTACCCCGGCTGGGAACTGCAAGGTCTCGAGCAAGTTCATTTCGCAGTACGGTGTCAGGAGCATCAGAAGCAGAGCTTTCTGCTCCGCAAGACCCCATAGTTGCCTACATGATGCATGGGCCTCCAGCTTATTCACCAACGCTAGCAGGAATGGCATGTGCTGCAATTCCTTATTGATGGACCAGCATGCCGTTTCATTCCAGTGGTCGACGTACCCCTTGCAATTGCATGCATTTGCAGGACTGCAAATGCTTCCATTTCAGCTCAGGCAAATTGCTCCAAAGGAGCAGGTCACTAGCTATTTCGTTGCGAATACTCTGACCGACGCGTGCGCGCGCGAGAGAAAGAGAGGGAGAGAGAGAGAGAGAGAGCGGGAGATAGAGGGAGAGTGCAATGAGAATGCAATGAGTCTAGATCTGAGCAGCACCGCTTTTGGTTGCTTGTGCGTGATGAGTTGATCTCTGTTTTGGAATCAGGTGCCCGAAGAGATGTAATCCACAGCTCCTGACTTTGAGCCACATTCACACCCCAAGATCCAAGACGTCAAATTGGTTGCAACATGTTTCAGCTATTTCTCCGATTGCACCACAGTGGCGCAGGGTTTGCATGCATTGAATGGTGAATTAGCATCCATGGTCGACAGTTCCATGGCAAAGGCCCGTCCAGCACTATCCAGCTTTCAGCTGCTCTTTCAGAAAGAGGTGAATATTATTCTCCTTGTGATGAACTTGTCCACAGAGAGGGATGGGCTTTCTCCCAAGATGCAGATTTGCATTTGCACGACAGCCACGCTGTACATAGGGATGAGCCCAATTTTCATCCATTTCATGGAGGGAAACGGATACTTTCCAAATCAATTAATTGTTTGTTTTGTACTGGTTGCGGGAAGTTTGGCATGTGAAAAGACAAAGTATCCGTCGTAGTATCCTCCTGAAGATTCAAGGTACGCATTAAGGCAAGGATCTTCCGCCTGAGCGCCCAAGGCAGCTCGGTAGGCCTGCAGGTTCTAATGACGAATCTTTTGACCTGAAAGACTGACCAAGACCCCAACACCAAGACTGTTCTGGGTGCAGAACCGTAGTGGACTGAACCTGATGGCTTTGCATACCGCACATTGCTTCACCAGACGCTCGGAAGGTACAGGGGCTCTGGAAATCCCACAAAACCAGCCTCAGTTGCACTCAGCTTTTGAGTCCATGAGAAGGGTCAGAATCCTACAACATTGAAAGACGTTGACAACAAGATATTGACAACAGCATTGCTAGTTGCTTGGGTCTGTAACTCTGTGACCTCTCAGTTCTGCTTGATGTACTCTTCATGGCTCAGTTTGTGCAAAGCAAATCTGGAATATCTGAGATGTGATAAGAACTGCAGTCTTTTCCGCCTTGCCAGCAGTGGTTTTAATTCTTTGTCTTTGTATGATTTGGCTTCGACTTCGGATTTCACTCTTGCTTGGCACTTGTCCCGTCAACAATTCGTTGGTTGTTAACAATTGTCAGATTCAGTCTCTGCAGTCTGGTCCAGTCTGGTTCATCAATCTCCATGTCGCAATGCCATCACCGAGCCGTGAGCGCATTCTCTCAGATGAGGTGCAGAACAGAATAACAACTGTGGCGCGTGTGGAGTGTTGTTGGCGTCGTGTCCGCAGGAAGAGCTGAATACCATCAGAATCTTAGTCGCAGGTGCATGGGTGACACATCTTTGGTGGCAGTCACTTGTTGCGTTATTGATGCTGTGGGTACGTGTTGACAGCAAACATCGCTGTAGAGCTCTTGACTCCTGTGAAGCACCTAGAAAGGGATGTCAGTTAAATTGTGTTGGTATTTTCAAGGCTGCATTGTCTCTTTTCCTCGTTTTATACATGATATAAGGGACACATCGATTCTTGGACACTATATTCATGCAACATCCCTCTCCAAGAAGATTCTGTGCTGGTGACAAGTAATATCCGTACTTCTGCAAGGGGGCTCAGATGGGTTTGAGCAATATTTTGCTGAAGTGTGAACAGTTCTCTGGCAGGAGATGCTGCTGTTGGCAAGTCAGGTACCTGGAGGTCTACACAGCCATAGATCAGAAACACACATCCGCACTGACATAATGAAGCTTGTGTCCAGCTTCTTGTCAAGAGCTAACATTTTCCACTCCAAATTCAGAGGAGTTCATCATGATGCAAAAGCTGCTTGCTTGCCTACAACATTGCGGGGAAATGGTTTGCATTTTTCTTGCTCTCAATCAGGACACGGGTGTGCGAGCTTCTTTGCAACGGTGCGCTGTTTAGCTGGGGAGCAGACAAACCGATCCAAAGGCTTGCAGCACCCAAAACTAAAGTTGACTGCCATCCTTCTAGGGCTTTCGCTTCCTTGAGCTAAACTGGGACCAATTAGTGATGTGCGGTTGGCAATCATTGCGCTTCTTTGGTACGCAAAGGGCAGCCTGCTAAGGATGTTTCTCGATGGTGATTCCAAGAACCTTACTCCCAACTTCCAACATCGGGGCCCAACCAAACTCAGCCAAATCGAGCTGAAGAGTGTTGTGCTTCCCTCACTCCCAAGCACCCATTGTGCAACTTCCCCTGGTGTTGCTGGAAATGATGTCAAAGGGGACTAAGCCTGTTGGCAAAGCATGGCATGTAATTAGTAGGTGGTAGAGCACTTGCACCATTAGCCTACCCCCTCACCCTTCCCCCCCAGCATACGGTACATGCCACAAATTGCTTCTCATGTCCGTGTTCTACATTAGAAAATAACACAAGGCGCTCTGTGATGAAGGTGGCAATTACACACTTGAGATACGATAGAGTACATACGATGCCACGGGCCCTGAAGAAACCGAAGCAAAAGAGAATAACCTAAGTAGCGCAGCGGGGTTAACCACCTTCAAGCTCAAGAAATCAAGAAAGTGCAAACTCACGTTACAAGACGCTAAGGTCCAGTTCTAGAAACTCAAAGGTTGAACGGCGAGGGCATGTTTTCCTATGAAGAACAGAAGCAAGGCCAGCAGCATATTGCTCTAATAACAACGGGGCCCAGTGGGAATTGAAAGGTCATCATCTCAGCAGGTACACTGGAGTGATCAAGTCTGGCTTCCAGAAGAAACAACATATATATTCGGGCGAGGAAATACGGAGAAGAGAGAAGAGAGAAGAAAGGCCGAAGACAAAGGCAAAAGGGAAAACACGCAACCTTTGAGGGACCGGGCCACCTACACTAGAAAGTAGAAAGACCTTAGGAGACACAAAGATGGAGAAGACAACCTGATTAGCACCGGGAGGCAGACCCAGACTCAAGGAGCACCTGTGGCGACGATTTGGGAAGACCAGCAACCTACCGTCTTGGTCAAACCTGGGAACAAAAGACAGAAGGACAAGACGGGACAGCCCACGACCCAAGACACACCGGGGGGGAGAGGGAGAACTCGAAGGTAGGCTTGGGTCACTCGCTGCGAGCTGCTAGCGACGCACAAGAAATAGCACACATCATTGAAAAACCAAGGGTGGATGGCTGTTATAAGAACAGCAACTACAGGAGATTACCAATTTCACCAATTTCCTTTGTCTCAGAAGACTTGGAACTGAGCCGAGTCCCTTCCACGTTATATAATTGACCGTCCGTGGTTGGAAGTGGTTTCCCGTTTTTTTTCTCACTACTTTTGCGTTCCAGTGGACTGGTGTCCTGCAAATCATTGTGGCCCACAAGAAGATTACAGCCTGGCTGACAGCAACAACACAACAAGAATCAAACACACAGAAAACACAACACGCCAAACCACTAGATCCAAATAACATTAGGAGATGTGAAAGGAGTGGGGTTCATGACAAGTTCAACAATTCAACATGACATGCGCAGGTATGACGATATTTCAACAAACTTGCAGTGCTTAGCGTTCTGTAACTTTATTCGGATATGGTTTCCTAGAGTCCTAGAGTCATTGATACGTGTAAACACTTTTCCAGACAACAATTTGTAGAGTATCAGATGGCACAAAATAGCAAAATCCATTGCCTTGTTTCCTGGTTCTGCTACAAAGTCCTGTCTACCGTCTTGAAGCCGAACAGAAAATGAAACATGTTGCTGTGGTGACACATGGCAGGCCGTGGTGCTTCAGAACTTTTGTTGCCCCTTCCAGGCACTGACACGCAGCAGGACCAAGAATTCTGTTGCACTAACCCTGATGTGTTTCTCATTGAGTTGGAAGCATTGCTTCCCACTCAGTATAGAGGGTTATGGCCAGAACTGTGACTTTGGGGGTCCATGTTAAAATGTGCTAGGCCCACCTTACAGGTTCAAACTTGAAAGTACCAGGTACCATTTTCAACTCTTCAACCATAGTACTTATGCTAAAGATCAGGATCTGAATTCCTGACTCAGAAAAGGCAGACACGGAAAAATTTGAAGGCATGACTCGGATTTTTGTTCCCACCTCTATGACAACTCGAACTGATACTTATGTTTTGTCGTGTTCAATGACAAATTCACAACTCAAGTTTCATGCGTCCTAGAGGGCTTTGTCATGTGCTTGTTCCCTAGCTCTCTAGCTTTGACCATCTTTGACCTGTCGCCATGGCGATGGCTATTGAATTGGGCTTGCCCAAACCCAAGGCCTTGCACAGGCTCGTAAACAAAGCGCAGCGAACTCTCCAAACAAAAGACGGATGCTTTAGGACATCCTTTCTTCTTTATAAATCTAGTCTCTGCGCCCATTGCTGTGCAAGGCCAGTCCGGATGCAGCCACGTGTTATCAGTGCAATGAGCAGCATTGGTGAGAGCAAATCGTTACTGAGAAGGTTGCAGCCTGCTGCATGTGGAGTAGCTGCCTGAGTTAAGCAGAGGTTCTACCGTGAGTTGAAGTTTCACACTGGTTGCATCGCAGGATTTGAGCTTCATACAAAAAGTCTGTTTTAAAGCATGGCACTCTTTGCACTCTTTGCACTCTTTGCATGTGTTTACAATTGTTTACAATCGTCACAATTCTTGGGATCCCGGCAGTTTTGAAGGAATATATATATATATGAATATATAAATCCAGAGAAGTTTTGTTATTCGGCAAGTGCCCTCTCGCTTAGGTCCAGGCTGCCTGGCTGTCCGCTTGGGCTCGCCGCGGCGTGCGGCAAAATGCCACTAGAGCGGAAGTGGCAGAGACGGAAGGTGGGGTACAAGAACCGCATACTCTCAGGTACCAATATCTCTTTCGCGGATGTGGTCGGTGAAAGGAAAAATAGTTTGTGAAAGTCGGCTTCTGTGTCTGCATACTTTTATATACTCTCTTTTTTCTAGCTTGTTTCAGGGCCCAGCGGAGTGCTGCTGGTCACAGGCGGCTCCCCGGCCCTGGCTGATTTGTCCACTCCACGGAACTGCCGTGTGCTGCATGTGCCGGGAACTTTCAGCAGCCCGGAGGAGAGGTGTGTTCAAAGTTGACACATAGCATTCCACCACCAAAGTAGAGAGAGAGAGATAGACAGAGAGAGAGAGAGAGAGAGAGAGACAGAGAGAGAGAGAGAGAGAGAGATAGAGAGAGAGAGAGAGAGGGAGGGGGGGGAACAAGACATCCATGAAGTACCTCTTGCCAGAAACTGTGAGACATGCACATGTCCATGATCCTTTTGAAGCCTCCACGCTCCATGGTTTTCCCTCATTCTTGTTGAGAAGTCATTGCTTTCTACTTTCGGCCCGCAGGACGTGGAAGATCTTATACGCAAGACTGAAAGGGAACACCCTGGTCAGGAAATTGCAGGTTTGCTCCACATTGGAGGCGGCTCTTGAGATTCATTCCTTCAAAAGATTGGTTGCAAAGCTGGACAGGCACCTGTTGCAAGAGACTGAATAAACAGACACAGGTGAATCCACAAAAAGATCTACCAATCAGCTAAAACCATAGACAATCAGGTATTCGTATCCAATGAAAAAACACCAGGTTGAGAGTGTGTGTTTGTGTGTGTGGCAGATTCAGATGCCCAAATATTGTCAGGGCATGCAAAAACGATTGCATATTTTTTTGGTGATACTGGTCTCATTTATTTGGTCTGGCGGGTACGTACATGAGGGTCACTTTCCGTACAACTGTTCAGTTTTCCTTTTCGATGGAATCGAGAGTGCAACAACTTGTTCAAGATTTGACGCTCGTTGATTTGACTCCATTCTGGCTAAAAGCTTCTCGCCAGGCTTTTTCAGTTATATACGTTTCATTTGGGCCTGGCGAGACGGCTGATCAATCCAGACCAGAGCCGAAGGTTAAAGCCATGCCCGCCTCGGTCAGTTTCTGGTCAAGAACGGATGATGATCAGCAGCATGCTCCAGAGTCTACACAGAGCGCTGCTGCTTCATGCTGTTCCGCCACCACCTCCAGCAGGTGGGCCACCACAAGGTTCTTCAGCCGCACCAGTTCTGCAAGAAACTCAGAGCTTTCTCAACCACATGAACAAGACACCGGCCTCGGAAGCTCCGTCGTCAACAGGAGCAGGCTGCTCGCCGCGGTTGAGGGCCTTTCGTTGGGGGAATATGGCGCCTGCCAACTTGAGGCGCAACCCTCTCAATACCCGCGCTGCCTTCAATTCTCATGTGGATGCAGAGTCTGGATCCTGAGTCTGGTAAACCTGCCTTCTTGAGTTTGTCGTGGTAGGCCACTCGTTCGAACTTGTCAGCCGAGTGCAAGTACAGCCGACATTTATTCGGAATTGTAGGGGCTCCAGTCGTTCAGTCTCGCATCGTTCAATAAATATGGCGAAAGTGTGGATTTAGACTGCCGTCAGCTTGCGTCGATCAATTCGGCTGTTGAAGTGGCTCAGAACGCACTGGCAACTTGGGTCTTCCCGGCTGCCCTGGCCCTTGATTGTAGAAGCTCCTGTTGTCCTTGATGCCGGCCGTGTTTGAGGTGACCTATAATCACTAAAACCTAGTCGACCGGATGCTCGAGATCATACAAAGTAGGAAATCTGAGCTCGAGGATGACATCAAGGGTATCCTGGATCCAGATCTCAATGAAAGGAAAGTTCTGTTTAAAAGTCTCCGCTGCTTTTCAGAAGATATTCGTGACAAAACGCCCCTAGGACAGCGGTGTTGTATTGAGAGTCGCTCTCCTGGTCTCATGGGTATGTACATGAGGGTCACTTTCCGGACAACTGTTCAGCTTTCCTTAACTGGAGTTTTGACGCTCGTCGATCTGATGCCATTTTGGCAAAACACTTCTTGCCAGGCTTTTTCACCCAACCCTGCCCGCCCTGTAGTTGCTCGCTGCGGGGTGGGTAGGCAGAGACCTCCGTGAAGTCAAATCCCTGCATTTGAGTCGTTTGGGTGCTCGCCCCACTTCCTACCACTTTTAAATCACTCGGAGTCGGGAACTACGCCCCCATGCGTGTGGCGACCCGGAAGAAAGCTCCGCAGCTTGTCAGTACGTGTTCATCCATGGAGTGAAGTACTGAACAAACGCCCCTAGGGCAGCGTGGTGTGCAAACGTGCTTTGCGGGAGTAATTCCTTCCGAGTACCAATTTCATCCAGTGCAGGAGCGGCCTCGTCTGCGAGCTCTTCTCTGGCATCGTCGGCTGCTATTGTATCCCTCGATGTGTCTCGAATGGAAGACGGAAGGAGAGCACAGAGCAACCAGCTAGAACGCGCCATTTCTGTCCATGAAGTGCGAAAGAATGAACATGCATCCATAGTACCTTCGAAGCCGCTTTACACAGGTGTGCTTACCTTTCTGCGCGAACTGGGTGCAAGTGGGTTTCCACACTTGCTGAGGAAAGCCTGCGTTCCCTCACGGTCTTGGTGGCCGGCTTGGTGCCACACATGCAACCTGGTGCTCGGCTGCTGACATGGTTGGCGACCCAGATTGGGTAGACAGGCAAAGGTAATAAGAGGGTGATTGTCACGATCTGCGTGTTCGGTGTGTTTGTTGTCCAGAAATGCGCGTCTGACATGCCAATTGCGAGACTTGATGCGAGTCGCACATAGGTCCTCAGATTTGGCATTTGCCAGTCCCTCCACCTGGACGACAACACATGGTGGAATGGCTGCTTTGGTGCCTCGGCAGGTTGTTTTTTCCCGCAGCCATGCAAGTTTTGTCGTGGGTTGTCACTTTTCCTGACCCAGTGAGATGAGCTAAAGCGAGAAACCCGTTCTTGCTCGGGGATTTGCGCGAGGCAAGTGCCTTTGTCGAACAGTATACACAGGCCTCTGTGGAGATCTCCGACATGTGAAGATGCCATTGCTTTAGGAGACTTGCATGACTGAGGTTTTGGCTGGTTAAATACGATCAGTTGAACGCTACTAGGAACAAGTGCATCGCTTCTAGTAACAAGTGCCTTACTAGTAGTAACAAGAAGCTATTAGAAACAGGGACAAGGAATTGCCTTTCGGTGTGGCAGTTGGTGCCTGACTCTTTGCACGGGCCTCAAAGACTTCCCCTCTCTCCGACTCTCTCCTCAAAAGAAACCCTGGCCTGGGCCGCCTGGGCCTAAGCTTTGCATTCTGATTTGCTTGGAAGGCTTTGGCCCATCAGTTGCGGCACTCCTGCACTGTCTATGGTCTACGGCTTACGGAAGAAGCACTCAGGCTGGTGACGGAGGTACAAATATTCAGAGCATGCATTCTATTCGTCCGTGACGTTTTCATTGAGGTGGTCGTCAATGAATGAATCTACTCAGAAAGTATGAGGGGTGAAGAAAGAGTTTGCGGGCTGACCTTGTCTGCCTTTCCGGAATCAGGATTGCCTTGGATCCGGCGCTGGATCCAGACATGAGAAGCAAGCTTGAACCTCGTCAAAAAATTGAACTCCGAAGCATGTCTTTTGCTGTCACTTTTCGTCGGTATGCAGCCCCAAAATGCAGCAAGGGAGCCAAGAAGTTGGCCAACCTTCCGAGGAGAGGGAGATCTGTGATTTATGGTCACTGCCTCATAGAGAGGCACATGGCCAGATTTTTCCAGTTGGCAGGCAGGAGACAATTTGCCCATGCTTTATTGAGAGACTCCTAGAAGATTTTCAACCAGTGGGAGGCAAAAGCCCCTGACGCATTCCATAGCAATTTCCTGTGAGGCCTGAGGTGACCTTCACTTCCACGAGTGCGCGCGGTGCCAGTGTCCTCGGCTGCTCTTTGGATGTTGCCTGGGCGCTGAAAGGCGCCTCGAAGGATGCGGCGGCTTACCCTGTTGATGGTCGGCCACGTACCTACAAGGCACAATTCAATGCACAAAAAGCTGTCCAAATGCAGTACAGATGTAGGTAGGACATGGAGGACAGGCAACACATAAAAACATGTGTACTTGTACTTTTGGGGTTTGGCTGCCAGGCTTTAGCCAGCGCTTTGAATACTGCTCCTGATCGCTTGGTTTGGGCGCATGGAGCTTCAGACGTGATTCTACGTACGGCCTTGGTGGCTGCAAAACGTGCAGGCGTCAGAGGGCGCGGTAGCTGTGCTGCACACAGATATATATATATGTATAGGGTAGATGTTTGCATGTCACACAGACCATTTGCATATCTTGAAGTACAGTAGGCATGTTTCAAACGTGCAATATAACAAAACCAGATTCACACCTCGGATTGTGTTCCCCACCAACTGCTTCTGCACCTATAAGCTTTCCGCTCTCAAACTTTGCCTTCCAGTTTTGCCCGAAGAGTTTCTTTGTGTAGTGTCATACCTATGCGAACAAATTTGATATATACATGTATATATATACACATACTTTACACATCCTGTAGAGCCAATATTCCAGTTGCTTTTTGATGAGCACGCAGCACTTGTGTGGTTTGATTGCACTATTCAGGAGCCCCTGCAGTGGCCCTTATGCAAGGTGAGGTTGGGGATTTGGATGTCCGTGCTTCTCTCGGCGTGAAAGAATGCCTCTTGAGCAGGTCCGTCTTGGCCGAATGCCACATTGCTGCTGCGTTCCGGTGGCATGAACCGCATCGATTCAGCGCCATAGCATGCACAGCTAATGTGACAGGACACTGGCTTGTTCACAGGCTCAGTGAGTTGAACAAGATTCACAAACAGAGTGCTTTCCAAAGGCTGCATAGGTCATCCACTTCAATCGGCCACGTGGGTCAGGTGCCCTATCCGGACCCCACACATGGAGCTCCCAACTTCTGGCCAAAGCTGCGAGAACAAATAGACAGCAACTGAGACTGCAGCTTGTGATCCGAGAAACGCACATTTCGCAGACAATCAGAACACATGTCAATTGCAGATGCTTCCCACAAGAACACTATGATCCAATTGACGTACGTCAAATATATTCAGCCTACCAGTTTGGTTTCTTTGTGGTGCCACATTCATCAAGTGCCTGGAGGCCAAGCTCCTGCAATGGTGTACTTGGTCCACCCGCACTTCCCCACTGGACGGGCTTGTGGGCATGTTCATTGGGTTGCTGAAGAACCAATGACTGAAAGCATGGCCAGCTGCTTGAGCATCAGCAGTCAGTGGTCCCCTTTGTATGCAAATCACGTGTTCATCGTACGATCGTGGCACTGGGAGTGTCCAGCAGCTACACTTCTGCTGATTATTCCTACACTGAGGTAATTGGGACCTTTCTCTTTCTACAATATGGGCAATTGGCAGCTATTGGTTATATATATATTGGGTGAATCCAAGAGCTACAGTCTGTAGGAGATTCTCAAGGCTTGTGGGAAATGCTTTTGGCGGAAATTCGGACATTCGGATTTCTGAATTCGGAAATTACCAATTTCTGAATTTCTGAACAACTTTACTTTTGGCGGAAATTCGGAAATAAACAATTTCTGAATGTTTGAACAACAACTTTACTTTTTACATAGTTTGGCGGACATTCGGAAATCGACAATTTCTGAATTTGTTTACATAGTTTGGCGGACATTCGGAAATTAACAATTTCTGAATTTCTGAAAACCTGTACTGTAAATATATATATATAATATTTAATATAATATATATGCATATATACATATATATATATGTATGCACATACACTTTCTGTCCAGTTTCTTGTTTTAGAGGCATATAGTCATAGTTTTTAGCAAGATGTTCATGCAGTTGATGCCGCGAACTGTTTGCACCAGGAGCAAAGGAGTCTAATTTTGCTGCAGAGCTTCGGGACCTCCTGGCCAGTGGCGATTTCTCTCGAACACTTGTGGCGGTGGATCAGACCTATTTGGGCTTTACGGTCGGGGCTTTACATTCAATGTTGGGAAGCTTGTGACACCTATGTCGGACTTGCAGGGAGACTATCATGCTCGTTCCCTGCAACAGGAGTGGACAGAGGACGATGACATTTTAGAGACCTTGGCCCAGGCAGACAGTTGATGTGATGCAAAACTTCATCAGAATCATGAGAATCGTAGGCTTGAATACTTTTTGCAGAGCGCCACGTGCCAAGTTCAATGACAACGTGGTGCTGATCCGTTCTTTATCCAAGGCCAGGGCGGGCTTGCAAGTCATCAAAGCTGAAGATTTGATTAAGGGATCTCTCCCAACCAAAGAATGATGCAGCCATGCACTCAAAGAGGCAAGGAGCCTGCTGGAGCTAAGGTTGAAGGTCTAGCTGGCTTGCGCCTGGGCTATGCCAAGAGCACTTCTACTACTGCGGATCTCATTGCGGAGCCAGGGATATGGGGTGCGGGGTGACGGTTTCAAATGGCGAGGGATTTATTGAAAAGAAACCAAGAAGCCAAGAAACCAAAAAGAACTGGGCACTTGGCCGCAATGCTGAAAGGAGACTTTGCCTTTCTCTGGTGGCCTCTACATTTCAGAGATGGCTCTGACAGGCGCAACTGCGTGAAGTCTATTTGAGGGTACATGTTTTATGCACTTTTGTTACTTGCGACTACTTCCACAAAGCCACGTCAAACACATCAGCATCGAATCATATGTCCAGCACGAGAGAGCTCTGGAGCTCTGGAACAATTAAGGCACACACGCAGAACCAGTCGCATTTCCGATTGCAACGTTGAAGCAGTCTAGGCTGAACGTCAAAGCAGTGACACTTTAGGAATTATATAACATGCTTTGGGGAAGGTGCTTTGGCCGCCATCAAGGGGCCACTCTCAGCCGAACATCGCAAGGAGGTCCGTTGGTTGATATTAATTAAGGACGTTCAAAACCAGCCGTTGGGCCGTTTGAACTCTTGCAGGTGCTGAGGTTCTACAATGACGAGCAGCTTTGGTTGCGGAATCAGCTGGAGGCCGAAGATAAGGTCGTATGTACTTTCTGATTTGGGCGTGTTTGAAGACGTTCCTCAAATGATGACAGGCGCTTGGTTTTGAGACCTTCGCAGCATTTGCCCCCTTCTTCATGCTGCGAGGGCCGAAGGCTGCGTTTGATGCTGCGGTGCAGGTTGGCTCCTTGGTGCCTCAAGGAATGCATGCACCTTTGCCATAATGTCACAGAAAGTCTTTCCTACGTGCGGCCTGGTGCTGCCTGGTGCCTTCCACCATCCTGTTTTGGGGTCGTCAGGCTGGTGCTGCCATCCAGGCCTTCAGCTTTGCTGGTGAAAGCGATTTTCAGCGAAGCCCAGCACCTGGGCATTCTTGAGTTTCTGGATGGCAGTGGTTCCGCCTCAAAGCGCTATTTGCACGCTTTCACTGTAGTTGTGCACTCGCAAGTGCCTAATCAGCCACTGTAGGGGCTTTTGTGTTTGAGGCCAGTCTGGTCGGTCGGAAAGGGTTCGTATTGTCCTTTTGCGCCTTGTAGATAGTACCATAGTACCGCTATTGGTTGGCGACTGCCCTAATCCTTTTTTGGCCTTTGGACCACGCAAACTTCCAAGGCAGTGTGCCTCGTGGCAGATCGTGCCTCAAATCAGTCGACTATCAGGCAAACAGCTGAGTGGGAAAGGAGTTCAGACCTTCAATCCAAGACAACATTTGCTGACACCACTACCACCACTTTTGCCGTCTTCCAGATAATTGGAACTGTTTTGAACGCACATGGCCTTTTGGCTTTGCAGGATGTTAAAAACCGCCTTGGAGGAGACTGGCTTGCCCGACTGGGCCCAGATGTTCTTTGGCCAGGAACAAGCTTGAAATTGTTTCCATTCAAGCATTTTACTTCGACTTCCTCGAGGCTGAAGCCCATGTTCAGTGGCTAACATGTGATTTTTCTACCACTTGCTGCTTGGTCCAATGTGGAACAAACTCATCATCACATTTTCCTTCCTCACGCTGGCTGTTTCACAAGATTGCTGCATATGTCTTGTTGCCTCCATTACCCTGTTCTTGGACCTAAGGCACATGAGCAGACGTCTCGGCGGCAAAAAGACTTGGGTTGATTGTTGATGTTCGTTGCAGATTGTCTTGCATTTCCCTCGACGAGCCCGTGTCTTTCAATGCATGAGCAGTGAACAGATTGCGCACAAAGACCTTCAACATTTCGGATACACTGTTTCCAATGAGTAGAACCCGATGATCGAGAGGATTGGACATGTGGGTGCAAGTTGTCCATACTCAGAGAGATGGTGGAGCACCCAAGCACCTTTTATTCAAGCTTTGCAATGAACCTTGAACTCACTTCAGTTGCATGATCCTGTCATTGTAACTGTTCAAGTATATATATGACTTTTTTTACTGAGATTGAGGTGGATGCAGATTTCAGGCCTTTGGAAGTGGAGGCTTCCCCCTGGTGACAAAGTGACTGTTGAGACATCCATACAATTGGACAAATCAAGGAGGCAAAACACCTTGGCCAAATCTTGAAATAGCTTAGTAAGGTCGAGTTGTCAATGGCTGAGTTGAAGTGACAGGCATCTACTGAGCTTGAAACAAAGTCGTCACAGCGCTGGTGACTTGATGGCTTGAACTGAGGTGGGAAGTTGGGGGTACAAAGACCTACTCCTGTCCAGCACTTTGCGCATCAGTTCTCAAAGAATTCATGACTTCTCACAGCATTCATGAAGCACGTGAGACTGCCCTGCACAAAACATGTTGGTCTCACTCACACTCTCAGGTGCACGGCCCGTTTTCTACGACGCCTTAGATGCTGCCAGAGCCTTGCGCTGTGTCGAATGCAGAACCACAGAATCCTCAGGTCAAAGAGGGTGGAAATATACTCACCAGGTTCTTGAGATCTCTCAAAATTGAACTGCTGGTTGCCCGGGGTTGCTGCCCTTTGTTGTGCTGCTTTGTACTGGGGTCCGTTGTTTGTGCCTGAGGTGTTGCTTGTGTACGACATGTCCAACATGAAGCCCAAAACTTGAGCAAGATAATAGAAGCTGCACCTTTGACCGTAGATAAAAGTGAATCTGAGTTTCAAATGTGCCCGCATTTAGTTTCGTGGAATGTACTTGAATGCTTATTCAGGTCCTACCACGGGCTTGTGGCATGGCTTTTCGAGCTTTGCTCTTTGGCCCTGGGCTTAAAGGGCTCGCGTTTCAGCGTTTATATAGTTATGCGTGACTCGGGATATCAGCCTGCTGGACACCTCTATAGTGCTCGAGACCATGTTGCTCGTGCACCTATTGATGTAATGATGTACACCGTACACCTTTGAAGCAGCCAAGAAAGTATTGATCTGTAGCTCAATGCTTGCCAAGTATCTCATGAAATTGCTGGTTAACTCGGTTCCACCCTTTTTGACAGACGCAACTCTAGCAACTCCAGCAAGAAAAGTATCATTATGCCAATACAATCTTTCTGGTTTAAACTTAACAGCAGCTTCACATGCTTCTCTCGTGGCTTTGAAGCCATCACCAGCGTTTTGTTTGTCAGCATCAGCATCACGGCGCCGCTCCTGTCCTTTCACCCGAGAAAGGCATATTATCTATGCTCGCAAGAGCTCTATCAGTTTGGTAACTCCAGCGTTACTGTACTGCAAGTAGACCTTTACACACAATTAGACCTTGGCTGAGGGAACAGAAAGGCGAGAGAGTCCGCAGAACCGAAATGTTTAACATCACGCGGTAGCCCTTTATGGAAAAGTGGTGTGAAAAGCTTGGACAACAGCTCAAAAAGAAGAAAAGGAGAGGAAAACTGTGGTTACCAGCTGCGACTTACTAAGCACCCAGGCAAGTACGTTTTCACAGGAAACGTGCAGCGTCTTCATTGGTCGCTGACTGCACGAATCCCCAGGGACCCCACTGCAAAGCTGTACAATTAAAGTCGATGTGACTGAATGTGGTCTTGCTCCTTGGAAACAGGCGTTGACACTTAGACTCATAGTTCAAATGAATGAGCGTAAAGTATCATAAAGTTCAGTTACTGAATCGCCGCTGCATTAGACGCTTAGCCGCTTACTACAAAACAAAGAATGAGACAGCTTTGGCCATACGTAGGTTCATTGGTTAAAATGCAGGCAGGCACGGGTGATCAAGCTGTGCTTCCCACTCCAAGGCATAGCTTCGTTGCACCGAGCTTGCCAAGGAGCGCTCAGTGCCCCTGCTGGTGAACACTCTTAGAAACAGAGGTGGACACGCACAAACAGCCGCATAGCAGCGCGCCAAAGTGCATAGCAGTAGCGCTTTAAAAGGGAAACAACGCAGTAGACGGATTTATGCATTACTTAGGTTCTAAAGGTTACTCGCAGGTGCATTAGCCCTTTATTGCTGTAGGAAACAGCGCAGTAGACAGATTTATGCATTACTTAGACTCTAAAGGATACTCACAGATGCGTTAGCCCTTTTTTGCTGTAGGAAACACCGCAGTAGACAGCTTTGGCATTACTTAGGTTCTAAAGGATACCCACAGATGCATTAGCCTTTTTGCTGTAGGAAACACCGCAGTAGACAGCTTTGGCATTACTTAGGTTCTCAAGGTTACTCGCAGGCGCATTAGCCCTTTTTTGCTGGAGGAAGCAACGTAGTAGACAGCTTTGGCGTTACTTAGGTTCTAAAGGTTACTCACAGATGCTTTAGCCCTTTATTGCTGGAGGAATCAAAGCAGTAGACAGCTTTGGCACTACTTAAGTTCGCAATCGCTCGGCGGGGGTAGTGGGTCGGGGAAACGAGCCTCAAAAGCGACCTAACAAGCCTGAGGAAAAAGCCCAACAAAGAAAAGACAACGCAAGAGAGAAAGAGGGTGTGGGGGGCCGGGGTGTGTATAATTGTATAATCAACACCCGGTCGTAAAGCCAATTCCGGCGCCCTCTAGACGAAAAACCTGGGAACGAACGGAGATCGAGGCATGCAGTGAATTACTCAGCTTGGAAGAGTGTCTGAAATGTCTCCGTAAGCTCGGCGGCATTTGGTCAGCTGTTTCCGGAGGCGCCCAAAGGTTCAGGAAACGGCCTGCGGCAGGCAAGGATAGATCAGCAAATTTCAGCCGCGAAATCCGGCGCCCCAATCGGGGATCGCACTGCGCACCCAAGTGGGAAGATGCAGCTGGTCACACTTAGACTCATGACTCAAATGAATGAGCATAAAGTTCAATGTTTAGTCGACGCAACCCCCCCTTCCTCCCGCGGAAAAAAGCACGAAGGGGAGCGCCGATTCGGTGTGTGTGTCACACTCCGTTCCTAGGAGTTACGATTGTTACGACTACTTTGCAGGGGCGTACGGCTCGTCGCAACGAAGCTAAAGGTATGACGAGGGAAGGGTGGACTGATCATCCACCTGTACCTGCACTGATGGAACTTTTTGCGCGCGCTGTGACTCCACTTTCCCCTTTTTTTATTCCATGGTGATTTCACGATACTCCCCATAAACCCAATTTTCCTGCCGCTGAGCTCGCCACCGCCGCTTTCTGCAGTCGCGCAAGAACAGTGTTTCCAACTATTTAAGTGAGCTGACTCCATCGCCGTTCCGTTCCCTCATTCCTTTTTTCGTGGAACAGAGTTAACTGAAAACCCAATGACGAAGTGTGTATCGCTGTGTCTTCCCACTGGGTACACAGCGTGATCCTCTCGCAAGAGAGGCGCCGAGACCATCGTGGATCACAGTTTGATTCAGCGTTTTTCTGCGCGCGTTGGATTATGGTTCTGTAATCCCATTGTCTCACCCATGAATTGTCTGATCGCAGAGCGGCCGCGCTTACGGAGTCTATTCATTGATTTCACGTTCTGCAAGGTTCAAGAGATTTCCGCCATTTTTCACGACATCGCATGCACAGCTAGTTTCATGTGAAGGCTCCGATGATTATTCACTACATGGTATGACTCGACATCCTTTTTCAGGTTTGTCTCCACTGTTGATGAGAAGCCGCTGCGGAGATCCTGATCAACTTGTACAGTCAAAAAGGGCGCGCAGCAACTGACTGCCAAAGGCTTTTGAAAAGCGGAAAAGATTTCACCCTGCTGCTAACGAGCGCCGAACATCGGCGGTTTGTGTGTGTGTCACACTCCGTTCCTAGGAGTTACGATTGTTATGACTACTTTGCAGGGGCGTACGGCTCGTCATACCCACCGTACGCAACGAAGCTACGGTATGACGAGCGAAGGGTGGACTGATCATCCACCTATACCTGCACTGATGGAACTTTTTGCGCGCGCTGTGACTCCACTTTCCCCTTTTTTGATTCCGTGGTGATTTCACGATACTCCCCATAAACCCAATTTTCCTGCCGCTGAGCTCGCCGCCGCCGCTTTCTGCAGTCGCGCAAGAACAGTGTTTCCGACTATTCAAGTGAGCTGACTCCATCGCCGTTCCGTTCCCTCATTCCTTTTTTTCGTGGAACAGAGTTAACTGAAAACCCAATGACTAAGTGTTTGGTGTGTGTGCCCACCTCTATTTCTAAGAGTGTTCACCAGCAGGGGCATTGGCACTCCTTGGCAAACTCAGCGCGACGAAGCTATGCCTTGGAATGGGAAGCACGGCTTGATCACCCGTGTGTACCTGCATTTTAACCAATGAACCTACGTATGGCCAAAGCTGTCTCATTCTTTGTTTTGCAGTACGCGGCTAATGCAATAAGCGTCTAATGCAGCGGCGATTGCCTGAGAGAAGACCTAACAAAAAAAAGAAAGCAAGGAGAGGAAGGGGGTGTGGGGTGTGGCGTGAAACCGAAACCGGCGCTCCCGTGACTCGAAAAGTTAGCCGGAAACCTAAAAAACCTCTAGCAAGGAACCAAGCCTGGAAAGAAACGAAAGAACCCTGGAAGGAGAGAATCAAGACCGTGCATGAGTTACTCAGGGTGAAGCAAGTGAATACTTAGCAGCGTGGTGCGTGAAATCTCAGTGAGCTCTGCAGCATGATATCAGCGATTTCGAGTAAGACGCAAAGCCAGTGAAGAATCATGCAAAGGTGAAAAACCGGTAGTAATCCCCCTTAAGGGTCTATGCTCAACGCGCCCCCAAGGGATCACACAGCACACCGCAGTGGGACGATGCTGCGAGACAGACTTAGATCCATGTTTGCAAGAGCTCTATCAGTTTGGTAACTCCAGCGTTACTGTACTGCAAGTAGACCTTTACACACAATTAGACCTTGGCTGAGGGAACAGAAAGGCGAGAGAGTCCGCAGAACCGAAATGTTTAACATCACGCGGTAGCCCTTTATGGAAAAGTGGTGTGAAAAACTTGGACAACAGCTCAAAAAGAAGAAAAGGAGAGGAAAACTGTGGTTACCAGCTGCGACTTACTAAGCACCCAGGTGCCCCACGGCAAGTACGTTTTCACAGGAAACGTGCAGCGTCTTCCAGCGTCTTCGTTGGTCGCTGACTGCACGAATCCCCAGCGACCCCACTGCTAAGCTGTACAAGTGGTAAATCCATTAACGTCGACGTGACTGAATGTGGTCTTGCTCCTTGGAAACAGGCGTTGACACACACACACACACGTACACACTGTCACTATATGTGGGCAGGTGTCTGAGCCGGAATCGGTTCATGAATGTTCCCGAAGAAAAGGTCATACCCTGCCAACCTGCCAACCCAAAAACAACAGGATCGTGGGCTGCTTTAGTGCGTGGACAATGCTCAGCTTTCTCAGATGAACTCAAGTTGCCCTCACTTAGGTGAGGCCTCCCTCCCTGAAGTACTGGGATGCAGGCGGAGGAAGTCCGGGCCTGTGCCAGTGAGGTGAAATCATAAGAACTGCCTGGAAACGTTTCCGCTGGATTATGTAAATTGAGGAAAGTTATTCGCTGGCGAATGGGAGTTGTGTTGTTAAAGATTTGTTATCAGATTCAAAAGACAAAGATCCCTCGAAGGTGGTGGCCAGCCTGACATGGACCTGGAGCTTGGTGACTCAAGGTCAAGTGAACAGGCTCAGCTTTCCAGCGTCTCTCGTTTGGTCGTGTTGCATTTGGTATTGCCCAAGCCAGCTGAAACTTTGAAGCAAATTGAGCTGTTGGCTGGTGTTTGCCAGCTTCGAATTTCGCTTTCCTGTGCTGATGCCCAAGGGAATTCTGGGTGGCAGATGCCCCGTCCTCTTTGTGGCAAACAAGTGTGACTTGCAGGATTCTTGATTGTGCGGACGAAGTGCGAACCGCGGGAACTTTAATCCGGCTTTGTATTGTCTTCCTTTCATCAATTATGAGTCCCATGAGGACCAGCAGCAACGGGAGAACTTTGCGAGGAACAAACCGAGGCGGGTTTTGACGGTACATGCATTCGTTTGGTTCGATCATGTTTGAGCTTAATGCACAAAGAAGAGCTTGTTTCAAAAGGCCAAGGGCCAATGTATTTGTCCTTGAAACGCAATCAAAGAGCTTCCATGAGAAAAGAGGATGCCTTCATTCGAGAGTGACAGCATGCTGTTCTTCCAACGCCGAATGCAAGGCCAATCCCACCCGAGAGACCTCCTCTCGTGGACAGACTCTTGGGGGGCGGCACCGGCGACGCCTTTCTGCAACCATATCGAAGGTTGGCAAAGGGCAAACAGATCAACCTGGGCACTGGTCACTGGTCACATAGATGTTTAAGGACGTTTATAAGTTTGCAAAGAGGAACCACACATATGAAGCAAACGGCCCGGCCTTCAAAGCATACAGCGTTTTTTACATCAACGCTGCCTGATTTGGGCTTGACCCTAGCTTTTGGCAAAGTAAACCGCAAAGTCAAGCACCTTTGATGTGATGCTGATGCTGCAGGGATGACACAGCCCAGACATTTGCTGCAGGTCGACCGCGGAGCAGCAGCTCCTAGAAAAGCTTTGCGACTTTGTACAGCAAGGGCAACACACAGAGGCGTTGTAGCAGTTGTACCAGGTAGTCAAATGGATTCCTTTTATGGGTCAACATGGGTCAACACTGTTTTGTTGGAAACCCCTGAGTCGCTATTCTGAGAATGTACAGATGTGTTTGGTGTTGATGGGGGCTCAGGAGAATCACGCTTCATCGAATAATGCTTTGTCACGCTCAATCTTTCATTTGCAATGGTTTGCATGTGCAGGCCTGCTGCAGGCACAATGGGACATTGGTGATAGCATTGGTGCACTTCTAAGTACAGTACGTGCCCACACTTTGGTAGATTGTTGCACCATGTTGCCGCATTGCTGGTTTTGCCACAACAAAAAGATCAGCATGAACAACAAAGTGTTGACACAGTTGCAACCAGCGAGAATGTTCAACCTTACTGTTGGGCAATGTTTACCTCCAGGGACGGACAGCTTCACTTCGACTTCTTGCTTTGGAAAGACTTTGTGCGGCGCGTGCACAAGGTGGACTGGATCAGAGATAGAGAGAGAGAGAGAGAAAAAGCGAGAGAAAGCGAGAGAGCAAGCATGGAGGATTGAACCGAACCAAAGGCTTGAGTTGAAATAGCCAGCAAAGGCATGCCTGAGCTTGGTCCAGGAGTGGCATGGGTATGATTGAAATATTAGGAGTGCTAGGACAATCTAGGACATTCCAAGCTGATACAGTTATTCAGGAGTATATACACACATATATATATATATATCATATTGGAATTGGACAGTTGCTTGAAAGCAGGGATTCTAGCTTTGCAGCAAGAGCTTGCCATGGCAGCCATGGGAGTTGCTGCTGCTGTTGCAGCTGGTGGGGCCATTGGGATCATCGCCTATCAGACGTCGTGTGGCTGCTACCCCTCTTCAGCTTCACGAGTGGTCTCAGTTCCGGTGAAAAAAAGATCTTCAACTACTACAAGTCTCATGGGAGAGGTCTTGTGCCAACTGCCAGGCATGCTGGGCAGGACGCGCCGCCATGTCACGTTGGTGGGCGATATGCTCATGCATGGGTCAGTGGCAGGACAAGCAGAAGGCTCCATATTTCTGAGAGGAGCCGAAGTATGCAAACATGGCAAAGAGCTGCATGTGATCAAAGACGCAGAGCTGGCCATCGCCATCTACTTTGACGACGAAGAAGAGGCGGATTTCTGGGCGAAGGGGCTGTCCTCTGCAGTCAAAGTCTCTGACAGTTTGCCCAAGCTTTTCAGTATGCATGCTCGCGAAATGAGCAAAAGAAGCGAAGAGGCGAATGCAAGTGCTGCAAACGCCATCTCCAAGTTGCTGAGCTTGAAGCGGAGGGAGCTGACCGAGGTGGAGCGAAAAGCCCATAACTACGAGTTGGTGGCAGACCAAAAGCAACAAGAGGCAGGCAGTACAAGAATGAAGCAGCTGTTAAAAGTCCGTTCCCAAAATGGGACAAGAGTTTCCTTTTTTTGTCAAGTTAAGTTTAGCTGCTTGAAATTCCATTTCAAATCTAGCTTTTTGAGCTCAGGTGCAGGAACTTCAGGAGCGCTTGGCAGCACAGGCAGCCTTAGCGTCACAAAAAGAGGAAGAAATGGAGCGCCTCCGGCAAGAGGTTGAGGCCGAGAAGAATAAGGTTGATCGAATGGAGCTGGACACAACAGCTGCATCTGCACCTGCTGACGAATCTTCAAGAGCTGAAAACGATGAAAAGGAGAAGTGTCATAGGTACCACCAGAGGGCTCACTTTGAGAAAAGCCAAAAGATGGAGGAGGTGCAAAAGCGCTTGCTGGCGATGCAAAAGCTCCTGGAGCAAAGTGAAGCTCCAGGTGTAAGAAAGCCGAGGCGGAGCACCCCGGCCTCTTTTCCTTCCCAGTGATGCCACAACCTGGCAATTTGAAAAGGGCTCCCACACGAGGATCCAATGAATTCAAGCTTAGAGCCTTGCTATTTGTACAATGCGACCTGCTGAACAAATAGGCCTTGCGTTACAAGCTCTGCCAGAAACATGGGACCACATCTTTATTTTCCAATATTTTCTATCATTTTGATGATTGCATACATGAATGCAGGCAAAACAATTGGATCCTAAAGGCGGACCATAAAGATATTATTATTATATATATATATATATATTTATATTTAAATATTCAATATAATGGTAAGGCTATTAATAGGCGTACGCGCGTAATTCGACGAAATCGAAAATTTTAAAAAACTGCTATTATTATGATATTTTTTGCGAATATATTTTTCTTTATGGCGGCTTTATATTTGATGTTTATTTTTGGTTTAACGGAAAATATCCGGGGTGGTTGGGATATTTTGGGAATTTTAAATGTGTTTTGTTTCTTTAAATTATTATTTCGGGATTTTGGTTTCGGCGCGATTTATTCGATTTTCGAAATTTTATTTTGGAATTGTTATTTTGTTATTAGGATTTTTTTATTTTGGCGAATTATTGGATTATTTATTTAATTTTTCTTTTATTAGTTAAAATTTAAAGATGCGATTAAAAGGGAAAGCAAAGAAAAAATAAAAATAACCATAAAATTTAACTATAGAATTAACAAAATTTAGGGGCGCGATTAAAAAGAAAATAAAAGCACCATAAAAACCAATTATAAAATTAATAGAATTTAGAATCGTAATAAAAACGAAAACAAAATCTAATTACAAAATTAATACAATTATTATAACAAAAATAAAATCTAACCATAAAATCTAACTATAAAATTAATATAATTAATTAAAAGAAAATTAAAAAGATAATAAAATCCAATTATAAAATTAATAGAATTTAAAAACGCGATAAAAACGAAAACAAAAAGAAAACGAAACTTAATTATAACTATAGAATTTAAAAATACAATTAATAAACATAATTAAATCTTTTCTTTTTAAAATACAATTCCATTAATAAATTATTTATTAAAATATATAACTTAATAATTAATTTTAAATAACATAAAAAATCGCAATAATAAAATAAATAATTTTAAAATAATTAATATATTTCGACGAATGTAATAATATATATCGAAAACAATTTTCGAGTCTTATATAATTTTAAAATATCGAATCATAATAATTTGTGATTGGAATCTTATTTTCTTCTTGATCGCGTCCCTGAACTCTATTAAATTTGTGGTTGGACCTTATTTTCCTCTTGTTGTTTTCGTTTTGGCCGCACCCCTGAATTTTGTTAATTTTGTGGTGGGCTCTGTGGCTGGTCTTTGTTTTTATCTTGTCCTCTTTTTGGCCGCGCTCCTGAACTCTGTTAATTCTGTGGCTGGGCCTTGTCTTCCTCTTGGCCGCTCTTCTGAATTCTGTTAACTCTGTGGCTGGGCTATGTAACTGGGGCTTTGTCCTCCTCTTATCTTCTTCTTGGTCGCGCCCCTTAATTTTGTGGTTGGGCTTTGTGGCTGGTCTTTATTTTCCTCTTGGTCGCGTCTTTGAATTCTGTCAACTCTGTGGCTGGGCTTTGTCTTCTTCTTGGCCGCGCTACCAACAAATTTCTTGTATGGGATTTAATGTTTATGAGGGAACAATAATGTATGGATTATGATTTGCAAAGTAGGTGGGAGGTTTAGACATGTAATGGTTAGACCTACCGTGTTCTTATTGATCGAACTAAATGCTTTGTTTATATTTAAAGAAATTTGAAAGTCTCTAAGCATGCCGTCTGCAGAAATATCTTTATAGTTTGTTTGATAATTTTCCCGGACGTATTTGCATTGGTATGAAATACGCAGCAAACAATTAGCAATGCCTCTTTGCGACAGATAGGTATATAAATGGAGACGTCGAAACTTCTCGAACGTATGATGTAATAATTAAATGATGACAAAATTCGATGTAACCTTGCAGACCGGGTGTTGCAGGCAGATCGGTCGAAGTGTTTGTAGTTTCGCGCTAGGCTTTTCCGGTTTACGGATGAGGTGTAGCTAACCGGAGGATAGGGAGGGGTTTCATTCCAATATTGTGTTAAAGCTTGATACGTCGGTTTGGCAAGATCGCGGGCAATGATTTTCTATACAATGGCTAGCAGACAGGGAGGTGCCATTGCTTTGATGGCCGGCAAGCTACGCAATGCATCATATATAGTGGGGTCAAGACAGGTGGATGAAAATCAGGGTCATGAAATTGGGCACCAAAATAGTGAACCAATTCATCAAATTCTTGTTGAGGATTAAGGGATTGATCATGATCATTAAATATATGAATGCGTTTGAACCTTTGCTTGGGACAGAATTGTCGGATTCGTCGAAAGAAATTAAAGGATTGATGGCGCATAGTTAGATCTGCACCCTCCTGGAGCAACGCTTCAAATTTGATCCTACGGTTAATCCTATTGTATTATTTGTGCAAATTAACTTTAAAATACCGAGGTCAAATTCTTGTCAGATAAAGCCAGGGCGGTCTTCCATGCCTGCCATAAGGGAACGAAAGGTAGGATTCGGGAGAACCTGTTGTCGATCCGGGGTAAAATAATTTCTGCGCAACCTAAATAGGTGTTGTTCCAGGTTGAGCTCGATCGGAGCTGCAATGATTCATGGTCCGCAATGGCCTGTCAAGCCTGGCTGAGGAAATCTGTCCATTGTGGTGCGTTCTGTATCCAAGCCTGTCGGAGGCGGAATCGGTTGATAGCCTCATTGGGTTTGGATCTGGGGGATAGAAACCATTTAGATAAATGCAAATTCAGGGAATTACATCTCGGGTCTTTATTGCCAAATAAACATTCGAACTCTGGGTGATATTTCGATTGGAGCGTGCGCCAGGAGACCTACTCCTTACGCATGAATACAAAATCAATCCATATGGTATGATTATCACGCACAAAGGTTGGATTAAACACTTTAGTATGGATTGCAACGAAATGATTATCCTAAATAAGCGATTGAAATAAGGTTCGACCTGTTTGGGCAATTTTAGTAAATTTGGGATCCTTCGTGAAGATATATTAATTATCATAGTCGGGCTGGAGCGTAATGAATTCATTCTAAAAATAAATCCAAATTATTCTATATTTTGCAACAAAATTAAGGTATTCGTAAATTCCAAAAATATAAAAATATATTGCATAGATATCGTGAGCTCGATATATATGCAATCTAACCTGCCAGATCCTGCCGGGTATATAATGGATTATCGAAGTGGCATCCCGGGAAATAAAGGCAATTCTAACCATTACGAGGACCGATACGTACCTATCTACCCCATGCACCACATGCCACTGTCGTATATGCCATTCAATAGTCATCCGTCAGCCTGTTTCCTCAGCAATAATAATATCATAAGATGATATATCACCCCAATCGATCCAATTGTCGTAATGCATAAATTTAGATTTATTCTATTGAAATATTCGAAAGATGCCTAGAACCAGAAAGACTAGTAATAAATAATAGATTTATTGAACCAATCAGTGGTAAGGGAGGACGGACATGAAACGCAAATTGCCTTTTCCATAGGCACACTCGAGGAGCAGGCGGCTTCGCCAATCAAAGGTTCAAACGTCGAACGAACAAGGGAGTGGGTGACTGTTTGACTCACCCCCCAACCCCCGGTCGACTGCTGCTCGTTGGGCCTTCATTTTGGCTTTGTACACCTTTTGGTTGGCTCTTTGCCGAACCCTTTGTTCTTGCCAAGCAGCGTCTTCTCGGAGGTTCCATTCTTTGGTAGCCAAAAAGTCTGGGAGGATCTTGTTCCCCTTTTCCTTGGTGAGTCCATCGGCCAGTTGTTGAGGCCCCGGAACCCATCTACATAGAGCTCTGTTGGATTCATCGAGAAGGGACTCCTTGATCGCTAGGAGGTCCAAAGCCGTCCTCCTGTCCTGAGGCAAGCTCTCCGTCTGAGTGTCGAATGCTGTCTTCGCATCCAGGACAAGGATCAGCTCCCAGAGACGAACGAATTGTCCCCACCGTCGCACCTGGAAGTCATGACATAGACATTCTCCGAACATGGCCCGCACATACTCCCCGTGCTCAAAGGCCATGGATGCAGCGCATGCTTCAATTGCCATGGAGCTCCTCACTACGCGCTTGCATGCCGTTCTTTGCCACTCCACGACATTCATCTTGGCTCCACCTTCTTTGATCGCCGGATTGAAGACTCCAATGGCCCAGCCCTGCTGGGACTTGCCATCCGGCATAGTGCCGTACGCCCCGTCCGACGAAACGACAAACAAAACATCTTCTAAAGCACAGCCAAGATGCACGAAGCGAATGGAGAGCTCATTCTTCAATGCTCGCACCACAGAGTTGACGACTCGCAGATGCTTGATCGTTGGCTCCTTGAAGCTCTGCTGCAACCATGATACGAGAAATAAGAGATCAGGCCTCCCTTATCGCACAGCCCAACACATGAACGGAGCTCGCCCACCTGTGCAGCATCAAGGGGGATAGAATCAGCACCTTGAGGATCCACAGCCACTTCACGAAACTCGCTACAATATTCATTCATATTGGTGGTGACCTCAAGGCTTTCTTCATCTTGATGGATGTGGCGCCCCAAGAATTTCAAGCCATCAATCATGGGTGTCTAATTGCCGAAGGTCAATCGGCTGCGGAGTTCAGCCCAAACATTCGACACTGCTGAGCTGCCTGCCAACAACACGTCATCCACATGGACAGTCGCCATGGCTTCCAAGGAGCCATTGACATGCAGCACAAAGACACACGGCGCCAAGGTGAGCTTTTTGAATCCGAGCTCTTGAAGATGCCGTCGAGTTCGGGGTACCACAAGCGAGGGCTCTCATTGAGCCCGAATACGCCCTTGACCATCTTGACCAGGTCGGTGCGGTGCCCCTGCAATTTGCCTTCAACATACTTGACCACCTCCTCTGGCATCTTCTTGGGCAGCCAAATGTATAAAGGCTTGTCCCGAGGGAGTGGTTCTCCTTGAAGAAAGGCAGCGGTAATGTCACCGCCATAGCCACGCCAGCGTTTCCCCACCATGATGACCAACAACAGGTGATGTGCAATCAACTGTGCAGTAGGTGAGGAAGTTGGATATTCTCCTGCAGCTGGATCTCAGTGACCTCCCACGCAAAGCCGACCTTTTGGTCCAAACAAT